ATTGTTAACTAATTTATGTCATTCCACAAATTTTCGTTATTTTTTTTGACATTTCTCTTGAGACAACTTTCTTTGTTTTGGGATCAAAAGTGCCCTGGCGGGAGAATACCCAACAAACATTTAGGTTTGAGCTCAACTTGAGGATAAGTTGAGAACTAAGGTATTTCTCAAATCTCCAACGTTATTTCTCAACAGTACCTCAAGTGGAGGATCATAGCGTTCTCAACAAAAACGGCACTTTTCTTTTTGAAAAAAGGACTGTTTCTTAAGTTGAGAAAATGCTAGTTCCAAGAACCCTAATAATTTTGTTATATTCCCTACAAGAAAAGGACTTTTTTTCTGACCTCTTCACTAACACACTAAAATGTAAACCAATATACAGAAAAACATTTGTAAAAATAACCTTAGGAAATACAATAAGTAGACAAGAGACCTTCTAGCACTGCTGGTAAAATCCCCATATGAGAAAGGGACGCATAGTCTCATCTACACAAAAGAACTAGTCAGGTTTTTCATATTACCCCCGAATTTCCGATGAGGAAATTGCTGCCTTATTGCATCAGCACTGACCGTCAGGTGACCGGTCATTTGCCAGTAAGATTTCTTGTAGGGTTGGCATCAATATTATTGAAATATTTGATTGAAGCGCGCGCGCCGTTGTGTCAAAATAAATAAATTTGCTGGCAACACCAAACATAACTTGACAATTAAAAAAAAGTGACAGTGAATTTGTTGTGGTTATCATTTTTCTGTTTCTGATCTAAATCGCCATAAAAGAAAGTATAGTTCTCAGTGAAATTAAATACTCTTTTAGCATACATTTTGTTAATTATAGCTTATTGAAGTACTTTTCACTTTAAGCAAGTCAAAAAGCGGACGTTGTGAAGCAAATATTTTGTGAATGAATCTGTCATTTTCAAGGACAAACCAGGACATATAGAAGCAACACTAGGAGGCAGTGAATATTTTTAAATCTATGAACTTTACCATTTGTCCAAATTTGGCTCTAACATAAGTTTTTGCGGGTCACTAATTTGGAGTGGTGGCTGGCGAAATAACACATTTGGATTGAACGCCTTGGCTGACGAAAGAAATAAGTACAAGGGCTCATGAGATATGCGCGGAATTGAAGGCAAAGTTGTGGTGTTGGGTTCCCGAGGTAAACAAATAATGTACTCATGATTCATTTTAATATTACAAGCCCTTATATCAAGATTCGTTTATTTTAATCTAAGCCCCATTCACCTTGGTTAAAAAGAAAACGCGACTCATATGTACGTATGTACATATGTAGTTGTAAAAATGCTGCAACCACATGAAAAAGGTGTATTGCGTTTTAAGGCTATTCAAAATTCTACGCGAGGGACCGTAAATAATGAAACTGGGATGGTTAATCAACAGCAAATGTCGCAGTAAAATGCCTGTCTATATAATTTCTATTTTTATGTAGAAGCAGATAAAATAATCCACTTATATTAATATACAAAATGGGTTCAACTTTGTATGAGACATACATTTGCATTGTATTCCTCTAGCTTATAAACTTATCAAGCATTCTACCTACTATAGTTGCCCTGTGCCCGGCCTTTGTTTACTTTTTATGTCTATTGGTTATAGAAAACATTCACTTATTTACGTACATACATGTGTGCATATGTAAGTAAGTATGTACATGTGCTACCCATTTGTTTATGCAAATACATATGTATTTACGAACATACATACATTTTTGTATGATAGTTGCATCCCACTGGGAAAATAGGTAAGCACCTTGCGAGGTAAGCCATGTTTTCTTTCAGTTTTTAGTACCAAAATTGTAATCATGGCCAATGTCATCTACTAGTAAAGGGCAAAATGAACACCTCCGAAGACACATTACGTTGTCAGTTGCAAAATAACGTGCACCCGAAGTTATTTCCAAGCACCGAACTACTCCGAACGACTGCTCTGCATTACTAGTAACTTACTTTGTAAAGCGGCTCAGAAGTATGTCTGATACCAAATGTACATTCTAAATTCCTACTTACATAAGGCGGCCATGCCTTTGTAAAAGTAAGGGACGTTCGGCAGGGAAATGGTAATGACTGCCAGGTGAAGAGTAAGTTGCTAATAAGGTATTATTACGTGCTCCTAATTCCCACAGGGATATTTTTGTAGATAAGAATACATAGCATGTACATACATACATAGTTTCGAAAATTCAAGAAATTTTAAAATTTGCAGTTAGGTATAGAATTTACAAAACGCATACATATGTTCATATTTGCATTTACAAAAAAAAAAAACAGAAGGTTTAGTAAATACACATGTGGACATTAAAACCCCCGCCTGAATTTATTCATTTCACTGTTATCGAATCGGTGGGGAATTCTTTCAGAAAATCCCCAGATTGCAGCAGACTTAAACATATAATTGTTATATCTATGTTTACTAAATACAAGTTTCATTAACTGAAAACAAATCTCCTTTTTTACAGGAGTTGGCAAAACGCGTTTGGTCACATCGTATATAAAGAATACATTGCACAAAGATATTGGCCCAACGATAGCTGCATCATTTTTTACATGCAAAGTAATGCTGGACGATGTAAAAATCAAATTGCAAGTAAGTGACAAAATAATAGGGGTACTCTCGGAGTCTTGCACAGCCATTGCACAGTGTACGGTTTGCACGGATTGCACGGGAAAAACCGGTTTGCTATGGGACAGCTTTGCAAACCGTGCAATCCGTACACCGTGCAAGACTGTGAGAATACCCTATCATAAACATTTTAGGGCATCTCTCCAATCGCTCATTTATTTATGTCCTGGAACTGAAATGGTTCATCGTTGAGATTCATAGGTGTAAGAAAATGTACAACTGCATCTAATCGCACGTCCCACGATTGTTTACACTTAATTTTTTTTTGTAATCATACTGCAAGTAGAGTCGCGCTATTTATGTAAACCCCTTACAAAGCGTTGCATTCTTTATGGTGACGGTATAGGCTAAGTTTCTTTGTACTTCTAATGAAATGCTTCAATTGTAAGTCTTAATGATTATAACTGGTTGAGAATGACACAAGTGTCGTGCATTTTAATGAAGTACTTTTGTATAGTTTTAAAATATAAAACAGCTTACCGCTGCAGCTCATTCTTGTTCGAAATACATATATGCACAATATTTTTTAGTATTTTCCAGAAAAGAATTAAAAAGTTGATTGTACTAACTTGTCTATAGGCATAGATCTTAATTCAGTTCTTAGGAATTGTCTAGATCCATAAAATTTAGACGTATGTGTTGTAAAAAAAATGGTGGGCGGTTGAATGCCCACAAAAATATGCAACGGTTAAGGACTTTTGGGCGTCAGCAGAGAAAGCTACAGGCTCGTTTAAAACTGTGCTAAGGGCTGTTAAGAGCGTGTCAGACGTGCGGTTGCAAGATGTGACTGCAATAGAGAGATCGCAAATCGATTTCGGAAATATATTTGAACTTGCTCGTGTTGCACTAGTAATCTGCAATACGCCTTCCCGAAATAAAAAACCTCCTTCGAAAGACTTGTACTTTGCATGCAAGGTGTGAATGCTCATGCAACTGCTTTCTGAAATTGCTCAATTTAAAAGCCCTTTCGAAATAAATTTGCATTGCCACGTCTGACAGGCTCTTTACTGAATAACCTTCATAAGTAGTAACGTTGCTATACTTTACGTCGCTTCATTTTAATTAAATATACCTATGAATGTATGAAAGTAAAATTAATGCCTTTTCTTCCTTTTTCTCTTAGATCTGGGATACAGCTGGACAGGAGCGCTTCAAAGCCGTTGCGCCAATGTATTATCGTAACGCTAACGCAGCCATTTTGGTTTTCGATTTGTCACAGCATAAAACTTTTCGCGAAATCAAATCTTGGATACAGGAGCTACATCGTAACGTTCAGGAACCTATGGTACTTACACTTGTCGGTAATAAACTTGATTTGCTTGCTCATCGCACAGTTACGCACGATGAAGCCTATCTGTTTGCCTCATCAATCGGTGCCACCTATTTTGAGGCTTC